GCTTTTTGGGATCAGCAATGGCTAATAGCTGCCTAGACTCTGGGAAAGGAGTTGCAGTGGTTTTAAAATAGCAGCTGAATGGCAGATTGTCAGAGGTTGTTTCAGCCACCCTTTTGGATTTTTTTTCTGTGTTCCTCAGTGAATTGGAGGAGGCAGCCCAGCCAGTCGCAGCATGTGATCAGCGGTTTGCCTTTGTATTGGCAGTCTGTGTTACTCAGGTGCCCTCTTGCTTCTTATCTTTGCATAGGGTGAAGAGAAGTTCACCTTCATTGAAAAATGCAACAACCCTCGCTCTGTGACTCTGTTGATCCGGGGGCCCAATAAGCACACTCTGATGCAAATAAAGGATGCGATCAGAGACGGGCTCCGTGCTGTCAAAAACGCTATTGAGGATGGTGAGTCATGGTTAGAAGTGCCTCCTGGAATGTCAGTAGTGCTGGGGACACCGCTGCTTCAAAGGGGAAATGAATTTGACTGCAGAACTGCTTGCTGCCCAGGATTGTGAGGCAACTGCCAGCAGGAACGGAGCAGCATCACAGTTACAAGACGTTACCTATTTGTTTCAATCTGGCCTGCCTTCTGTTCATGAAACTTCAAGACAGTATACTATAGGAATCATCCCAGGAGGTCTCTTGTCTACTTGGGTGGTTCCTCTGAATAAATGTATGTCCGTCTTAAGTTTTTCCATTTAAAATGATAACTCCCAGCAAGTTTTTCTGTTGCTAGCCACTGAAGACTGCTGCTACGCTCAGGACTGAATTTGAGCATAGCGGGCGCCTTGTGTGTTTTCTGTGGTTCATGTAGCCCGTTTGATTATTGTGGTGTCCTTTCACAGGCTGCGTCGTTCCAGGTGCCGGAGCAGTCGAGGTAGCTATAGCCGATGCCCTTGTGAAACACAAGAAATCTATCAAAGGAAGGGCCCAACTTGGGGTTCAGGCTTTTGCCGATGCGCTGCTTATCATTCCTAAGGTATGAAACTTTAGCAAATTATACTGATTATCTTGCTTTGAAATGCAAGGGCTTGGGGGATACAATACCCCAGAGAGGTTCAATCTGAGAAGTATGTTGCAAGGGTGCAGTGGAAAGTGAAATGCCTGATACGTACGTGTGTGTGTGTGTGTGTGTGTGTGTGTGTGTGTGTGTGTGTTCCACCAAGTTGCAGCTGACTTATGGAGACCCCATAGGATTTTCGAGGCAAGAGACATTCGGAGGTGACTTGCCATTGCCTTCTGCTGTGCAGCAGCCCTAGGATTCTTTGGTGTTCTCCCATGCATATGCTGACCCTGCTCAGCTTCTGAGATCAGGCTAGCCTGGACCATCTGGATCGTATCCTGTGGTTTAATTGTTTACAATGGGCACTCAAGGTGACAGATTACTTGAGCAGTGGATATAGTGCTAACGAAACTAAAGTATTTTAACTTTTGATTCTGTCAGGTTCTTGCTCAGAACTCGGGCTTCGATTCTCAGGAGACACTTGTGAAAGTTCAGGCAGAATATGCTGAGTCAGGACAACTTGTCGGTGTCGATCTAAACACTGGTAAGGGTGCAGAAAAGTGTGTGTGTGGTTTTGGGCTGAACAGACTCTACAGTGGACTGCGATCAAAGCTAAATTGTGTGATTCAAATATTATTTGTGCCACTGAGTAACTGTGGACCCTTGTGTGGTTTAAACCCCCCCCCCCCCCACCTCATGCAACTTTAAAAACAAGCGGCCCGCTTGGACACGTACTGGAGAATGGGCCTGTATCCTTGGTTGGGCCCAAGTGTTTGGCTGGCCTGCTTGTCTCCGTGGAAACCAGTGGAGCCACACTGAAGTGCTCGGGGGTGTGAACAGATTCTGCAGAAAGTCTCGTTATTGGATAACTGAAGCAAGCAGAACAGTTGTTGAGAACAGCATCTCTTGTGTTTGCAGGTGAGCCGGTGATGGCAGGAGCTGCCGGAATCTGGGATAATTACAATGTTAAAAAGCAGTTACTTCATTCATGGTAAGCGAAACACTAAGGGAGTCTTAAATAGCAATAACTTAGGAAAAGGTACTCCCGGAGGTATGGTCTGTATTGCAAGCCAACGATTAGGCTAGTAGACTTGCGTGTATTTTTTTCTATGGGGTAGCAAGGGTTTCTCTCTGAACGGCAAAAAAAGAAAAAGTCCCAGACCATCTTAGAAATCTGTGGACCACTTCTAAAGAAGGAATCCTGTGTAATGCTTAGGCTGGGTTGGGTCTTGGAGACAGTACAACTAATACAAACTTCCCTGTTTTTCTTTTCTTAGCACCGTGATCGCTAGCAACATTCTCCTGGTTGATGAAATAATGCGAGCCGGAATGTCGTCTCTCAAAGGCTGAGCTTCAAAGCCCTCTGACCAGCGAGCACTTGTGCCCTGTGTCTCTAAATCCAGTACATGTCCTCCCTTTTCCCCCAGCATCCAGCTTCAGAGTAACAGGAGGAATTGTCACTTTCCCTCTTCAGGAGCTTGGCCACCCATGCTTCTGTTCTGAAATTGGTTACTATTTATTTTTTACATGCACTGAACTAGTACATCTGAAGTTACTGTCTTTCTACCCAATAAAATAGTTCTGCTCTCGGCATAGGCTGCAGGGTCGTTAATATCTGAGCTTTGACTTTAAGAGTGGTGTCTATTGGTAGAAGAAAGTAGGGGAAACTGGAGTGCCAATCGGGCCAGTTCAGCTTGCTCAATAAGAGCTTGTAAAGCCTCAGTTACCCACAATTGTTCTGTGTACTGGTCATGCCACTGCTGATGTTCTGTAGAAAGGAAGTGATTTGTTTTGTGAGCTCTTAGGCCTAGGGGATGGTGGTTTGGAAGGGGGGCACTAAAAGGTTTTTCCTGCTATCCATTATTCTCCATTTGAGCATGTTCTTTTTCCCCACCCCCCACCCCCTGGAAAGAAAACACTCCTTGTATTCAGTGTGTTTGCAGCGCTCAGGGCAGCACATGCAGTTATTCCGGTCTCTAGTCTCTCTGATGGGAGGGAAGGAGAGCCTGAGGTCACCCAGTGAACAGCAGGGACTTAGGCCCAAGACAGGCCCCACTGCTGGACCTCCTGATGGCGCCTGGTGTTTCTGGCCACTGTGTGACAGTGTTGGACTAGATGCATTCTGGTGGTGGAAAGTGCTGTCAAGTCACAGCCGACTTACGTTGACCCCTCATGGGATTTTCAAGGCAGGAGATGAACAGAGGTGGTCTGCCATTGCCTGTCTCTGTGTAGCAACCCTGGACTTCCTTGGTGGTCTCCCGTCCAAGTTCTCACCAGGGCCAACTCTGCTTAGCTTCCAAGATCTGATGACAGCAATCTGGGCCATCCAGGTCAGGGTGCAGCCACTCACGGCCATCCTGTAATGCCTAGGTTAGTATAGCCTGTAACTTGGATTTGCTGAGAAAAGGTCACTTAGTTCTCTTGTCATTCTTCATCCAGCAAGGATAGCAACAATCTTTCCCACTTCCCTTTCAAATGCCACTTGGAGTGGTGAAGATCAGTCATATCCAGGATATGATGAGGTGCAGGTACAGGGTTGCATTTAGGGTCAGTAACACAGTTGAAAACAAGTGTGCAAACCACGCATCCTTAGACCACGTGCAGATTTCTCTCCAGTTTGGTTCCACAGGAAAAAGTGGTAAATCTCCACTAGTACTGGGATTCACATGCAACTGGCCAATAGCTTAAATTTCCTATGAAAGGCAGATGTTTCTACAAATCAGGCCCGGGTGTGATGTGTCAGGTGCTACACTGGTGCATTTGACTGCAGGCTACTTCTTACCACTGGTGTCCTCCCTCCAGGTTTATTAGGGCATTTCTAAGTAACAGGCCGGCTGTGGGATCAGAACCTCTTCAAGGCAAAAGTAACCATCACTCCAAGCTATGGCTCAAGATTTAATTCCTGCATCTCTCAAAAGGATTGGGGTGGGGCTTCTGTTTGGCAGGCTGCTGCCAATCACATTAAGAAGGTTCCCTATCCCTGATGGGTCACAGGCCAAAGTGAGTGCAGCATCTTTTCCCCTCCCATCCAGTTGTGTCAAACCCAAGGCCAAGTATAAAGTAGATTAGTATCCAAACCATAGGGTATTCTGTGTGCACATTTAACTTTCAGAGCTATAAAAGCAACTCACCCCACCTTACCCTGAAACTCCCCTTGACATAAAAAGGAAAGAATTTGGGGGAGGGGACTCCCATGCACAGTACTGAGCCAGCCTCATTAGGTCCAAGGAGATAGCTTGTAAATATAAGATCACAGGCCTGCACTTCTAAGCACATTGACTGAAACTGGTATGTTGCGGCAGAAAATAAACAGGGCTATTGCTTTTAGGGTTGCCAGCCTTCGGGTACTGCCTGGAGATCTCCCATTGTCACGACTGATGTCCAGACGATACAACGCTATTCCCTTGTAGAAAATGGCTGCTTTGGAGGGTGACTCTCTAGCATTATATACAGAGGTACCCCCTCCTCAAACCCCACCTTCCCCAGGCCCCACCCCAAAATCTCCAGATGCAGCAACCCTCCTGCGACGCTCCAAAGTCTTAAAATTTTAGACCACTATAAACTTGTGGATTTAGAGCCCACTGTTTCCATGCAATGAATGGATCCTCACTATTCAGGTTTTTAAAAAAACCACACACTATATTTTTTTCAAAGGTGGGATTAAAGGGCCGTGAAATGCAGACAGTCCAGATCCAACAAAGAAAACCTCGGTGTCCGTTCCTCAGCTACACGCATCTCATAAGAACTGAACGCGTAACGCGTTTATTATTTCCGAATCAGAGCGCGCAGAAACGGCCTGGGTTTCGGATTTTGATTTCGTGCTCCGGCCCTTGATACACCGCAACCCAGTCCGCGCATGCTGCCTAGGGAGTAAGCAATACTGAACGCCAGGGGGCTTTCTGTCGAGTAAGCATGCGCGGGGGCTGCCTTCTCAGCGCCCAGATAAGGAGGGCGGAACCTTCTCACGGGCGGCGGCGGCGGCGGCGGCTGCTGTGTTGGCCCCGGAAGCGATTGCCTGGCTGGTGTCGCTCAGCTGGGCTGGCGTTTGCGCGCGTTGGAAAGAGCAGGGAAGCCGTAAGCGGCTGCCCTTTTGCCCATGCGATCCTGCGCAGCTCTGCCCGGGGCGCTGCTGGCCCTCCTACTTCCTACGTGGGCCGTGGCCGGCGCCAGCTCCAAGCAGAAGAGTGAGTCGCATTACTTTACCCTCCCCTAAGGTGGCCACCTTTCAGGTAGGGCCTGGAGATCTCCCGGAATTACAACTCATATCCGGACTACAGAGATCAGTTCCCCTGGAGGAAACGGCCGCATTGAAGGGCAGACTCTATAGGATTTTACCCGGCTGAGGTCTCTCCCATCCTCAAACTGCATCCTCCCCAGGCTGGGGGATAGGATTGCCACCTCCAGGTGCAGAAATTCCTGGAGAGTTGCAGGGTGGAGCCTGAGGAGGGCGGGTTTAGGGAGGGGAGGGACTTCAGTGGGATATAGTGCTGTTGAGTCCACCTTCCAAAGCTGTCATTTTCTCTAGGTGAACTGATTCCTGTCTCCTGGATATCAGTTGTAATAGCAGGAGCTCTCCAGCCACCACCTGGAGTTTGGCAACCCTACTGGTGGTGCTGGTGAAAAGGGCTGTGAAGTCACAGCCAAGTTCTGGTGACCCCAGAGGATTTTCAAGGGAAGAGATGTTCAGAGGTGGTTTGCCATTGCCTGACTTGGTGTAGCTACCCTGGCTACACCCCCCAAATCCCCAGGAATTTCTGCACCCAGAGTTGGCAACCCTATTTGGTCTTGTTTTACCTCACCTCTCCCCCCCCCCCTTAAAATATTTGTCCTCTGTTAGAAGCCTTTTGCCACCTTTTGGGAGAAACCAATAAATGGGGGCTTTGACTTGCAAAAGAAATAATCTATATTTCTTCTTCCTGTTACATTTTTTTACAGTTAAATATTTTGGCGCCTGAGAATTTACACTCCCAATTAGTTTGTGGGGGGGGGGGGGTAGCTTCTGCTGACTCAATTTCTGGGGCTGGATGTTTGGGTTGTTCTCTTTACACTTTCACAAAACACATGCATTCTTCCCAGTTTCCCCTGCTGTCAGCAGAGCTATTACTGATTTAGGTACATGATTCTCTTCCTCCTCTTCACAACATCTAGTGGGGTAGGTCAGGCTGAAAGTGACTGGCATGTAATGACCCAATAAGTTTCGTGTTGGAGGAGGGATTTGAACCTGGGGCTCTCCTCAGCCCTAGTCCCAGCACTCTTACGGCTACACTGTGCTGCCTCTGAAATTACACCTTTGCCTTTGATTTACATCTTTCTCTCAGCGGTCAGACAAGATGAAAACGCGGTACGACTCTCCGGTGGGAAGTTCCAAATGGGAACAAGCTTATTTGATAGCAAAAGTGAAGACGGGCCCCCCAGGGAGGTGACAGTCAAGCCGTTTCTGATGGACAAATATCCTGTCAGAAATAGAGATTTCCGGTAAGGGCCAGACTCCATACTTGCTTGCTTCACAGATGAAATGGGCTGTGATTGTATTTACAGTTGAAACGCTGCAAATCCTGTGTAATGATAATTGTACCATTTTATGTAGCGCTTGAGAGGAGACAAGGTGCTTTGCATAGGCCAATTCACCCCTTCCGTACAACAGGCCTATAAGGTAGGCAAGTATCATTAGCCCCCGGTGGCAGGAACTGATGACTAATGATCCGTTTGAGATGGTATTGTCCATGCTTCGTGGTCTGAGGCAGAAGATACTGCTGACACCTGCATGAAATCCTTTAACAGGAGATGGCGAGGACTGAACCTGGCATCTTTTGCATGCATGGCTGGTGATCTTCAGCTCTAGTTCTCTTTCCCCTCCTTGCTATCTCAAGAGCTCAATACAGGAGCAAGATTTAAATCAGGAATATCCTGGACCCCAGCTGAACCTTTTGGCCACTGGGTTGTTGTAGCTCTTGAGCTGTTTGTCAAATTCTTAGTCAAGAGACTCCCAACAACACTCTCTTTGGCAGTGATTTGTTAATTGAGATGTCAGCATGATCCAAGCTAGTACAGTACCATGTCAGAACTGAGGTTCAGGCGGCAAAAGCCAAAGATATAGACAGTTCAAACGAAGATCCCTCTAACCTAACCATTCACATGTCTCAGCCAGCCCGCCTAGACCCTTTCCCTTCCCCCCCCCCCCCCCCCCGGAATATACGATCTTGTTACTTACAATAGCAAGTTGGCACAGTTTCGTTCTTAGGGACATTCCTTTAGGAGGAAGGTATCTTAAGGAAGAGTTACGACGCCTAGGATAGAGCAGTTCACACACTCAGCCATTCACCCCCCGTAGGAATTTCCCTCCCCGCTGTAACTATGGCAAACTAAGTGAGTTTGACACTGTTTACCACTCATTAGTATATGATACTTAGATATCTTTGAGTGCAACGCATTAAAACGAGAATTTGTGGAAGATGGAATCTATAGAGGTTAATGGGATGAAACCACTAGGGAAATAAAGAGAACATGGCTCAAGCCTTTGAGAAGTCAGTCTGGTCTGGTGGTTGGTGCCAGATATTTCTACTGTATAAGGAAAAGGGTGGGAACACTTCTAAATGTTGTGCCACCAGATCTTAACATGGGGGGGGGGATTGTATTTGGCAACAGGGAGTTCGTGCAAGATCGGAAGTACAAAACGGAAGCAGAGGAGTTTGGATGGAGTTTTGTTTTCGAGGATTTTGTACCTGAAAATCTTAAGAAGAAAGTGACACAAAAATTACAGGTAAAAAAACGGCACTGGACATTAACAACATCCTTCAAGATATAGTCCACGAAACTGAGGCTAATCTGTGTGCCTGTTTCTATTACTTAATACAAATAAAAAAACTGATAGCTGGATGTGTTCTGTCTGTGACTCCTCCCCTGCCTTCCAGCCGTTGGCAGAACTACTGTGATGTCACACAAGGCGCAGAAGCATTCTAAATTTGAAAGGCACAAACTCAGTGACTGAATACTGAAATTTACTATAGATGATGGGGAAAAAATAGAAATATATATGCTGAGGGAAGGGGTTGGGAGCAATGCCTCTTACCTGAAAGAAAAGCTTAATTGTTTCAAATGCTCAACGTCCTCCTGAGACAATAGGACAGAAATGGCATCTTCATAAAAATTCCTGTTGCTGCTCCTTTTAAAAATATATGACGGGGAAGGTGAGCATTGGGTAATGGGAGGGAGGGGGGAGACTTAGATGCAGCAAGACTAAGTTTGCTTGGGAAAGAGGATGGGTGTACTCCAACCCCCCCCCCCAGGTTTAAATTCTGCCCCAGTGTAACTCTAATTTCCATAATCAGTTCTAATGAAGATGAGGCTTTTCAGGATCCCCGGCTACAAGAAAGCACATTTGGCAACTCCCCTGGCTACAGAGTCCTCTCCAGCTGCTGCTTGTACCCTCTGAATCAACCATAAGATCTGGAAACGTGCTGGTTTGTTTTGGTTTTGTGAGGGATAGTAACCATTCTCAGAACACTGGGTTTCTGTGGTGGTGCACTGGCATCAAATCACAGTATAGAGATGTAGCCCCTGGGTTCCCCCCCCCCCCTTAAATCTCCCTTTCAGGCTGTTTCTCAACAGTGCTGTTTCTAAAAATACAAATGGAGACAGAATGCTGTTGTTTTTTAATGGGAAGGGGGGCTGCGTTGTGTTAATGCCAGTGACAGTTTTACTCACCTTGAACCCATTTGTGTTTTCTCCTTTCAGTCTGCACCTTGGTGGCTTCCTATAGAGAAAGCATTTTGGAGGCAGGTGAGCCAGAGCAAAGGGTAAGGGGAGTCCAGTAAAACTAAATGAGAGCCAGTTTGGTGTAGTGGTTAAGTGTGCGGACTCTAATCTGGGAGAACCGGGTTTGATTCCCCACTCCTCCACTTGCACCTGCTGATGTGACCTTGGGTCGGCCACACGCTCTGGCACAGCTGTTCCTGAAAAAGAGCAGTTTGTGTCAGAGCTCTCTCAGCCCCACCCACCTCACAGGGTGTCTGTTGTGGGGAGGGGAAGGGAAAGGAGTTTGTAAGCCGCTCTGAGACTCCAAGTGAAGGGTGGGGTATAAATCCCATCTCTTCTTCTCTTCTTCTTCTAAATGAATATGGGATTCATAGTCCAAGACTTTGATTCACAAACGGTTACGCTGAAGGTTTAGTGCTGGAATTTGGATCTGCCATGCAGGAAACCCGAACTCAGATCCCAGCTAGTGCAAAGTTAATTTGTGGGAGGGGCTGTGGCTCAGTGGTGGAGCACCGGCTTTTCATTCCTGATTCAATCCCCGGTGTCTCCACTCAAAGGAGCGGGAGATGGCAAAGACCTTTTTCTGCCCAAGACCTTAGAGAGCCGCAGTCAGACAGAGGAGACAACGACTAGATCAAGGGTCCCCAACCTTTTTTGGGCCTATGGGCCCCTTTGGAATTCCGATGCAGTGGGGTGGGCACACCACAAAATGGCTGACACAGGAGATGGAGCCAGCTGACATGGCTGCCGCAGGAGACAGAGCCACACACATGGAAGAAACCTAAGGGCCAGGGAAATGAGAGGTAAATACACTGGGAAAGAGAACTGAGAGAGAATAAAATCAAGACAGTGGTGGCAGCCGCTGCTGCTGTAGCATTATTTTAATCTGCACAACCAGTTGGATCTCCAGTGGCCAGTCAGAAGTCCTGCTGGGTAAGAGCCCCCACTTGTCCTCGCCCACTTTCTAAAAGACTTGGTGGGCACCGTGTTGGGGACCCCTGGGCTAGATGAACTGAGTGTCTGATTTAATATAAGGCAGCTTTGTATCAAAGAGAGAGGTGGTGTGTGGTAATGCTTAGAATGTTGTTTTTGGACTTGGAAGACACAATTTCAAATCGTTACCCGGCTTGGAAGCTCATTGGGTACCATATGACCATTTATTGATTTGATTTGATTTATACCCCATCCTTCCCTGCAAGCAGACTCAGTGTGGATCACAACTCACTCTTGGCCTAGCCTATCTCACATGGTAACAAAGAGGAAGGAAGAACCGTGCACACTGTCTCGAACTCTTCAGAGAAGAGGCAGGTTGAAAATGTGACTGATGAATAATAATAATATTGTATGGCATTGTGTGTAATAGCCAGAAGATCATAAGATTGTCTGGCAGGCAGAAGTTCTAGCTCTTTTAGTGGTATGCACCACTAGGTGGCGAGCTAGACTTGTTTTTAAGGCAAGAGACATTTCAGAGGTGGTTTGCCATTGCCTGCCTCCGCATTATGACCCTGGTATTCCTTGGAGGTCACCCTTCCAAATACTAGCCAAGGCCAGCCCTGCTTCGCTTCCAAGGTCTGACGAGATTGGGCTAGCCTGGGCTATCCAGGTCAGGGCGACAGGCAGATAATTTAAGGAGTGCCATGGGTCGGTGACAGAATACCTCCTTTGCATGCGGAAGGTCCCCAGTTGGATCCCTGACATTTCCACTTAGCAGCAGGGTTTGGGAAACGTCCTCTTTCCGCCTGAGCGCTTGGAGGGCTGCTACCAAATCGAATGATGTTTAGCTAAACGGATGGATGGGCCGAGTCTGTATAAGGCAGCTTCATCTCTTTGCGTGGACCGCAAAACGTAGCCTCCGGCTTGTGTCATATCGGTGTTGTGGACAGATGCCCAACCTGCTCAGAGAAATTCCCATCAGCCTGCAGGTCCTGGATCGGGCATCAAGGACCAGCTGGACCACCCGGTGTTGCATGTCAGCTGGAACGACGCCAGAGCCTTTTGCGCATGGAAAGGGAAGAGGCTTCCGACAGAAGCAGAGTGGGAGTTTGCCGCCCGGGGAGGACTGGAGAGTACGTAAGCAAGGGCCTTAGACGGCCACTGAGGCTCTGCCGGAGTTGTGCCAGTCCCATAGAAAAACAATCAAGGCTAGATGAGTTGATCAGATGATGGTGGCCCAAACAGACTGGTGCCTTGTCCCTTCGAATATGGTTTTTCCAAGTGCAGCTCCTTCCTTGTGTGTGGTTCATTTCTTCGGAATAGTGTGTGAGGAGGTCTTGCAGTCAGGAACACTTCTGTTTTTGGCTGTTTGTAGGATCTGCTGCTGTATAGCCTTCCTTTCACCATGGCTTAAAATACAGTTAAAACCCAGAGGATTGTCGGAACACTGTTAAAACGAAGCACAAATACAGCCATCAAAAGCATGCAGCTGGGCAGCAAACTGGCTTTGATCTTCATAAGAACATAAGAGATGCCAATGTTGGATCAGGCCAAAGGCCCATTCAGTCCAACACTCTGTACCACACAGTGGCCAGAAATACCAGTGCCATCATGAGGTCCACCAGTGGGGCCAGGACATTAGAAGCCCTCCCACTGTTGACCCCCCCCCCAAGCACCAAGATGACATAGCATCACTTGCCCCAGAGTCCCTATCTATACCTTGTGGCTAATAGCCACTGATGGACCTCTGTTCCATATGCTTATCTAATTCCCTTTTGAAGCCGTCCATGCTTGTAGCCGCCACCACTTCCTGTGGCAGTGAATTCCAAGGGTTAATCACTCTTTGGTCTTCCTGCATCCTTGAGGCGGAGCCAGCCAACCCCCCCCTCCACCTCCCCCATCCCCAGCCAACCCTCAAAAAATGATATAAATTTGTTTTTGGAGAATCCACATTTAATACTGGCTTCAGCTTTCTGTTCTGAAAGACACAAGCCAACCAACATGTCCAGACCAAAATAAGTCTTTGTAAATCCTCCGGCATTCTTTTAAGGAGTTTAATAGCAAGTAGGGTTGCCAGCTTTGGCTTGGGAAATACCTGGAGATTTGGGGGGTGGAGCCTAGGGAGGGTGGCGTTTGGGGAGGGACCTCAGGAGGGAATAATGCCCTCCAATGCAGCAGTTTTCTCTGGGAGAACGGATCTTGGTTGTTTGGAGATCCATTGTAATAGGCGAGAGATCTCGAGGTGCCACCTGGAGATTGGCAACCCTAATCATAAGAGACGAAAAACCCTGCGGGTGGATAACCGTGTTAGGTAAGGGACCAGGAAGCTAACTGCTATGGGGTGGGTTAACACAATCTCTCTTTCCCATTTTTGGTAGACAGGCTGTATCCGTGGGGAAACAAATTCCTGGCCAACCGCACAAACCTGTGGCAGGTAGGAAAACAGAACCTGTTGTGACACTGAGAGAAGGCGTTGACCGCCCTGTCCTCATTCTTGGAGGCGTCTGGTCTAACCGCCACACAAAAGGTGACGCTGGACTCGACGGTTATTCATTCTAAACTTGCGGGGCTGACTCTTATGATCAGAACATCAGGCCAGGCTCAGTCCTTGGCGCTGAGGTCCGTGTAACATCAGTCCTGCCTGAGCTTTCTTTTTCCTGCTCCCAGGGGAAGATCAGCAGAAACTAGAAGACCACTTTCATCTCACTTACTGCCCAGATTTTATGCTGGGAAGATGGGGAGATCCTGGCCAGTGTTCCCTCTAGCTGAGTTAGCGTAAGCTAGCTCACAGTTTTTCAGCCTCTAGCTCACGCATTTTTGCCTTAGCTCAGGAAGGATGGCTCCAGAGCAAGCTAATTTATGCAGCAGACAAATCGCCTGTTCACAACTTTAATGCCAGTAGCTCGGAATGTAGAATTTTTGCACACAAGACTCCACAGCTTAGAGGGAACATTGATCCTGGCCCTGGTCTCTGGATTATTTCTGATCCTGGTCCGTTCTGGTGACTGGCTTAAAAGGCTTGGGTTCCAAATTGGCTGTTTCGTGTCCAGTCCTTGTTGAGAGCCCTCTGGGGCAAGTGTTTAGAATGTTAACGTTAGACCGAGGAGACTTTCTTTGAAGATAAAATGGGGCAAAGCAGTGCTGTATGCCTCTCTGAGGTCTTGGAGGAAAGGTGGGTGAAAAATGTGAACGATGGCTTCCTTAAACTGTTTTTGGGATCAGGGTGAGGTGGCTTCTTCCCCCTGCATCGTAGAATGGGGGAGGAGCACCTCAGGATCTTTTGCGACCATCACAGAGCACACAAGTGTGAATTATGCACCCTTCCTCAGCCCTACTAGGAATATTGATGCCCCAAGTGGCAATTAGCAAGCTTGTGCCATTGAGACAGCCTAAACTGTTTGTGAGAAGATACCCTCCTTTTTTGCCTACAGGGCAGCTTCCCTGACATGGACACAGCTGAAGATGGCTACCACGGAGTTTCCCCAGTGGCAGCATTCCCTCCACAAAACAGCTATGGTAAGGAAGCCTTCCCTTGGCCTCAGCCACTGGCATGTGTAGATATACTCTGGGGACTAGATGGGGGTACCTGTGACGTCCTCACTTATTGGGGAGATGGTTTTACCTTTAAAACACTCTGTGTACCTAAACTTGGTAGATTTCTGCTGCCACCAGGAATTTAAAATTCCAAATCTCTCTCTTTTGGTAGAATGACCTGGGCTCTGGGCACTTCAGAGGACTATGTGGCCCTGAGGAAGGACTATTCTGATTTCTGGGATATGCTTAAACAAAAATTATTTATTTAATAAAGAACAAAATAGGTTTCTGGTTATTTTGAACTGTTGCTGATGTAAGGAACTTGTAAATATAACTGGCAAAGCTTGGTGTCACAAACAGCCTCTCAAACTCCCAAAACTCCATTCTGACAGACATAGAGACCTCAGTCTAATCTCTCTCTCTCTCATCTATATAGCCCCACAGGCTGAACTCTTTGTCTTATTCACACAGAATAGACTCAAAACTCATATTCACACAGAATAGACTCAAAACTCATATTCACACAGAACAGACTCAAAAACTCCCATAGTCTCACAGACTGAATCACTCTCATAGACACCACTCCTCCCACACTCTGTCATCAGCCAATCATATCACACTTATCTCCCTCTATCACTTTTATTACAGTACTGCAGTCAAACTAAACATTTAAAGAAACACACACACCAAAACATGAAATCATTACAGTACCTGATATAAGTTTTCATAAAAAAAGGTTGCACAATGTTTTTGTGTTTATTAATCATGGGGGGAGGTGGAAGGCTAGAGTCCTCTTCCTTGGAAACCGAACTCTTTCCTCTGAAACCCCTCAGCCTTCTTTGACTTCTCGGAGGCATTTCTGAGGCTCAGACAGATCAAGATGGGTAGCCGTGTTAGTCTGTCTGTAGCAGTAGAAAAGAGTCCAGTAGCTGTATCTGAAGAAGTGAGCAGTGACTCACGAAAGCTCCTGCCCTGCCACAAATTTTGTTAGTCTTTAAGGTGCCACTGGACTCTTACTCTTTTCTACTGGGGCTCAGATGTTGAGCATCTGCTTTGTGTGCAGAAAGTTAAAAATAATCTCATGTAGCAGGTTTCCCAGGGACCCTGTAAAGCCACTGTCAGACAGAGGAGACAAGACTAAGCTAGAGGGACTAACGGTATCATTTTGTGCTAGGCAACTTTGAGGGGTTCATTCCAGCACTGTTTTTTTTCTTTTCAGTTTATAATGAATTTTATTAGAAGATAAGTCAAGTATACATAAACAAGCATACTGTTTAAACATTAATACCAACTGTAAGTGCAGATACATATATCACAATGCCATCTATTAACATGTCATCAGAATCATCCTATGACCATGTCCTTGTCACTTTCTTGTGATTTTCCAATTGTTCTACTATTCCTAAAGTAATAATGTATAATAAATCCAGATATATTTTAGAAAGACCTCAAAAGTAATGTATGATAGTGCTCGGACCATAAAAATTTCTCAAAGATGTATCCATTCTGCATATCTAGAATTCGCTGGTAATACATCGTTTTCTGTACAATATGTTATAAGAGGACGCCATTTTCGAATGAATCTGGAATTGGATCGGGCATACCCTTGTGTGTGTGACTCATATCTATCTGCTACTTTATCCATCACAAAGTGGTCCCAACATTTATTCCTCCATTGAGCAATAGAAGGGGCATTCCAGCACTGTTATTGCCATATTAAGGACTAGAAACTTGAAACGGTCATTAGATATGGTGACCCTCACGATCAGCTGCTTTCCTGCTAATTGCAAACTTAATGGCTGTCAGTGGGGGGGATGAAACGGGACCACCCTTGGCAAGGTGGGGTGTTTTTTTTGCCTATTTGGGAGACTCCCCAGGTATGCAGAAGGCCATTAATGTGTAAATTAGAAAAAGAACCCCAACACCCAATTGCCCAATGAGGACTGGTCATTATCAATGAACAAATTCTTCTTGGCTCAGTCATCGTTCTCCCGAATGTGTTCTTTGCCCATTACATCCCTGGGGGCTAGAGCCCATGCTTCTGGGATTAGGGGCAAGAGTTTTTGGCTCAACGTTAGGAAGAACTTCCTGACAGAGCAGTTCCTCAGTGGAACAGGCTTCCTCGGGAGGTGGTGGGCGCTCCTCCTTTGGAGGTTTTTAAGCAGAGGCTAGATGGCCATCTTTGACAGCAATGCTGATTCTGTGAATTTAGGCAGATTCCGATAGGAAGGCAGGAAGGGACGAAATGGGAAAGCTTTTTAGGGAAGGGTAATATTTACCAAATCTTGTAGAGGTCCAGGAACAGCAGCAAAATGGCCAGCATTTCATGGGGAGAAGAAACCTACAAAGTGGGGGTGCATGCTGTTGGTACCAGGAGCACACACTGCTACAGAGCAGGATACCATAATTTATAGGGCAAAACGTACCCTGGGGCAGGTTGATGTATTCACCCCCAAAACCAATAACTTATGGTTTTTTCTGGTGGACAAAAGGTGTGAAGGGCCTGATGAGCCTGCTAATGTTGGATGGGTAGGGCTAATGGGAATGGTGAATAGGTTTAAGTGTTGCTTAATTGTCGACTAATCAAGGGAAATGGACATAGGTTGTGGAGAAACGCCATTTTATGCCTATGTTTAAGTTGGTGTGGGCCAAATAGGAGGAGACCATGAAACCTGAGGTAGGCCTTGGCCTAGTCTCCTCCTCATTCCCCCCCCCCGTCTCCAACGAGCAGTCAGAGGGCAGCTCCCTAGAGAGGACAGGAAGTCCATCAAGGTTGTGAGGAGATCTGCCCCATAATGCTGCAGGAGGGAGAGTCACTTCCTGGGCGGGAAGGGCTGTTGGATATAGTGGAGCTTTTGGGCGGGAAGCCAGTCTGTGAGAATTGAGGGCAGTCTGCCTGAAGTCTGGAGCCAGTCAGGCTGGAGGCTGCAGGAGGCAGAGGCCATGTTGGGAGTTGTGCTACTCTAACTTCCTCCAATGAAAACAAGTCATGTGTGCCTGCCCTGCAGACCATCTAGACAGGGTATGTGTAGTGAAGGGAGAGATGGAGCGATTTATTATCCACCTTTATTTTAATTCTTCAGTTCACTGTTAATATGCCTGTATATAGTTAAGTGTTTTCAAAATAAATTCTTTTACTGTTGACCCTGAGAAGTCCCTCTGTACCACATAGTTCCCCCAGCCACTTGGACACGCTAAGAGTGGGTTGGGGACTCCCTGAGGAGGAGAATAAGGGCAAAACAGTCAGTTGCCAACTCTCCAGGGGAGCCCCGAATATTACCAGGGTTCCTAGCGACAGCAGAGGGAGGTTAGGAGGCTGTCCCGCCTAACCAGAGCCCAAGACAGGGACAGTGGTGGCAGCAATACCCGGAGGCAGTAGTGAAAAACTGCCCCTTCAGGTGCCAGGTCAGGCAAAGGAGGGGTGGGCAGAGCGGGGTCTGCCAGCTGACGCGGGCCCGTTCCGCCACATAGGTATTGATAGATCAAGATGGCGTGTTAGTCTGTAGCAGTAGAAAAATCCAGTAGCACCTTAAAGGCTAACAAAATTTATGGTAGGGTATGAGCTTTTGTGAGTCACTGCTCACTTCTTCAGGTGTTGATGGGATTAATCCTGGGTGAACCAAAAGGTCTTGGGAGACACATTGCTCCAAATTATGCATCTCTCCAGGGTGTGGAAGGGAAACATTAACCAGCCAGTCACTCTGACTCTTCCAAAATACTTGCCCAGGCTTGTTTCTGACTGGCATCCATTTTTGTTTTCTTTTAGGCCAGGCAGTGCCCTGCGCATGATTTTGGGGTGACATTAAAGAAGGGTGTTTATGTTTCTCTCTAACCGCTAAACTGCCCTTCTGCAGGAGGAGGGGTCCGACTGCTAATTGGACTAGATGACCCTTTGAGTCCCTTCCAGCTCTGTGTTTCTAAGACCCAAGAAGGCAGGGGTGTATGTCTTTAGTGTGGACTGGATGTTTTCTCCAGTGAATCACCAGCCATTTTTGTATCCCAGGGATCTATGACCTGCTAGGAAACACATGGGAATGGACTGCCTCAGCCTATCGCCCTCCCGGACGTACCTCCCGCCAGCCTGCTCAGGAGATGCATGTCTTGCGGGGAGCCTCTTGGATTGACACGGTGGATGGGATGGCAAATCACAAGGCTCGGGTGACGACAAGGTGGGTGTAGCTCATGGAAGCTCTTTGCATTGGCTTTTGCTGGCTAGTTGGCACCCCGTTTCCACCCTCCAGGACTGACGTCATCTGTTATAAGGGGCATTCCATCCTGTATGTGAGAAAAACAGGACTGCATCTTTTAAGATGGCAGCTGCTATTCAAGTTTTTTTTGCACATTTGTTTCAATATACATTTTAAGAACACATCCAGGACCTCCTTAATCAGGGATGAACTTTTTAAGCAATCACAGAAACTTAATCGCTAAATCAGCTAAACCAAGGCCCCGGTCACACGGGCAGGAAACTGCGGGGGGGAAGCGTGGCTGTTTGCCCCGGGGCAAACTAACATGCAGTAAAGCGATCATACCTCCTGTGGAGGTTCTGTGGAGGTACCGTGGAGCTTCCGTGGTTACGGAGAGGCGTCGATCACAACACATGCCTGTGCGCAACAAAGAAGCGCGCGGCGCGGCGAACTGGTTTTCTTTTTTTGTGTACACTACGAATGCGCATGCTCCGTTGGGTGCGTGTGCGCAACCACGGAGACTTGGGAACAAAAAAACCCTTCTTCGCAAGGGGACATGGGCGGGCGCTGGATGCCACCGGAAACGCGATCAGACGCCCGCCCTTGTCCCGCAGTTTCCGGAAACTAGTACCTCCGAGGTACTAGTTTTTTGCTGCGCGTTTTCAGGAGGAAGCCTCGGTTGTGCCACAGAAGCGCTACGCTCCCCAGATGTGCTGGTGAGATCGCGCCCGGAAACTCCGCCTGTCTTCCGTATGTCTTGCGTGGCTAATGTTGCGTGTGACCGCAGCCCATGTTCCCTAACAAGGTGCCCACTGAGCTTTTTAGAATGTTGGTTGGGCTACTTTAAGGCAGGTTGCCCTCCTTCAAATGAAGGAGTTTTCCACTGGAGAATCAAAACTGTTCAGCGCCTGGTTTTCCCTCAGCCATTGTTTGGTTCCATTTACTTTTCAGTCTTTCCTTCTTCCCAGGGGATGTTAGGAGGGAGACAGTACATTTGGCTCCGCCTCCTTCAGTGGCCATTTTGGTTTCGGTCCTGCTTCTTGCAGTAGCCATTTTGGAGTGGCACGCACCACCCTCTTGCAAAATTGTCTTGAGCCTGCTTGTCAGGCAAGGCGGGGTATGGGTATAAATACAAATAATAAATAAATAAATTCCAAAGGTGCCCACTAGCTCAAGAAGCTTGGGGACCCCGGAGCTAAATGCCGTTTTATTCCCTAGGATGGGGAACACGCCAGACTCTGCCTCGGACAACCTGAGCTTCCGTTGTGCTGCCAGTCTCTCCCTGGAAAGTGTGAGCAAAAACACAGAACTCTGAAGGGGATCGTCTCCAAACAAGGGCTTGGATCTTTTCTCCTGTGGAGAGCAGTCACGAGAGCAGTGAATTTTAGGACCGGATCAAGATTCATGTTCTGATGCTCCTAGTGGGGACCAAAGATTAGTATGCAATAAAGAAAAGGCTTCCGTTGGTTGTAACATGGGCATCTACATTCTATGGAGAAACGCTGTGAAAAGATGCCATAAATGGATCATAGCCCCCAGGTCTGTTTCTAGAGCTCAGAACAGAACAGATCCTTTGTGTATAGGAGAAATTCCAGGTACATGTGAAGGCCCGGAAAAAAAACTGGAAAAATTCGGGGGGGGGGGGGGGGGGGTTTTTTCGCTTTTTTTTTTTTTCCGTTTTTTTCCTGAAGCCTTTTTGTTTTTTTCTGAAAAATTGGAAAAATTGAAAAAAGAAAGGGGAAAAAAATTGATTATGAAACGTTTTATTTTAATATGATGAATAAAATATTTTAAGACCAGATGTTCAAATATTTTCCAAATCATTTCTAAAATATATATATATGTATTAGATTGATGTAATTTCTGTGCACTGAGGACAAGCAAGTCCTAGGTTACAAACTGAACTCTCCAATGCAAGAACAAGATGCATTTCTTCCTTTAGGAGGTGCAATTGTCAGAAGAAAATAAAAAAGTTTCAGTTTTGTTTTTGCATGTGGGTGGGTATTCTGTAATAATTGTTTGGATACACTGTATTTTTAATATGCTAGTTGTGATAATTTCATGCCAAGTCAAAATGCCCATAGTCATATTTTATGTTCCTAAAATAACAGAATGACTTTCAAACTAGAAAAGACAAACAAAATGCTAATGTAGCATTTTTTTCAATTTTTCCAAAAATTTCCGTTTCCCCCCGGAAAAAAATGGGGAAAAACGGGTTTTTTTCCTAGCTTCAAAATTTCCGAAAATTTTACATCTCTAAGGTTCAGTGCTTGGCATCTTCTGCTTGAGCACTGGGAGAGCCACCACTGGTCAGAAGCGACAAAACTGGGGCAGTGGAGCAACATGAAGCAAAGCAGTGTCATGTGCTGTATCAAATCTAAGTATTCTGGGTTGGTTATTCTAGGAGGGGGCCATGGCTTGGTGGTAGAGCATCTGGCATGCAAACAGTTCCAGGTTCAGTCCAGGTTAAAAGAACCAGGCAGTAGATGATGTGAAAGACCTCAGCCTGAGATCCTGGAGAGCCACTGCTACTCTGAGCAGACAATACTAGCATTGGTGGACCGATTCAGTATACGGCAGGTTCATGTGCGTGGGTGCTCTTTCAGCAGCAAAACCGTGTTGCTCATCAAGACCAAATCATATCCAATAAACAAAGCCCATTTATTGATGTTTCGGTACATGTTTAGAAAACATGCATTTCCCTTTCCCAAGGCACTGTAGTAATAAATAGTAATAAATATTTCGAACATATTGGCCTTTTGGAGCTAACGCTAGCCCATATCTTTTCTGCACTAAATATGGCAGGGACTCGTGCGAAGCAGGGTAGGTGGCATTTTGTTACCTGAGAGCTATAATGCAACTATGAATTGGGGGTGGGGGCTAGCAGACTCTTTTCTTAAGAGCTGCAGACTTGGTGAACAGCTGATTGGTGTTTACCCATTGGATGTGTCCATCTTACAACATTTAATGGGGAAAGCAGTGCCTGTTGAACTTCTGGAGCTGGGTTTCAAAAACGGGGGTTAAACCAATTAGGGGATAATTGCAAATAGCATTTTAATATTAATTCATTTGACTAGCAGGGTAGGGGAATATATGCCAGTTTGCTGTGACTTAACCCCAAGACATTAGAACAACATGGGATAGAGACTGAAACTAAATAAAACATTTTAACCATCGGAGAAAGGCTTCGGCAATCTGGCTCATTCTCCTAAGTATTGGGGTGCTTAACGGAGAAAGTGCATATCGCTTTTTTTTTGCCTTAGCTGATAACACATTCGGAGTCCTATGTTGTCACTGCATTCAAACTCAAAAGAACTCTTCCTCGGCGGCCAAGCTAAGCAGGATGGCTTTGGGTGTGTTTTCAAACAGGGCCGCCCTGTTCTGCGCTTCTCCCTTCTTCACCCAGTGGCCGTAGATCCGGAAGGCACAGGCGTCGATCAGCTTGCGGACAGGTTTCAAGCCGTAGGGGTCACGCTGCATCACCTCTGTGGTGACTGGCTTGACATTACGATAATTGAGGTAGATTCGGACCGATGCTAAGACCGTCAAGCAGATAACCTGAAGGGAAACCAAACCCCTAGCTTTAAAACTTGCAGCCTCTCGGGAATATCACCTGATTCATCAGTACTGAGTTGTCTCTTAACGAATGGATTAACGGATTCCAGTTTAAGGGACTTTGAATATACCCAAACCAGAGCTCCCTGAATCTGTTCAAATATACCATCCAGCATAAAAAGCCAGAGTCAAGGTGTGTGGCAGTGCCCTTGTCCTATCAAGTTTACATCACGTACCACCTGCCATATTGCCCTTTTTAATGCCACCCTGAGTTCCTTGGAGGGGGTGTGTGTAAAAATGTGGAACCTCCAGGGGTCATTTCCTGCAGGAGCGCACAGGAGCGGAGCTCCAGCAGTAAAGAGCCCAGGGGCGGGCACACGCAACAAGACCCACCCCCTGCTCCCAGCAGCCCCGGGCCATGAGGAGCAAGAAGCAGCCAGATAAGTTGCAGTGGGTGTTGCCTTCTGACACACTTCCAGTGATGTCAGGGGGTGTGGTATATGCAAATAAGTTATCCTAATGAGTTATGCTAATGAGCTCCTGCACCTCTTTTTCTACAAAATGACCCCTAGTAACCTTCAATGGCTATTCAAGGCTCACAAGCACATTAATAAGAGTCTATACCAGAAGATCACCATCTATGCATTCTGTGGTCACTAATTCAGGGTTACTGCACCTTTGTTTGCAATTACTAACGGATCATGGAAGCTCACAGCAGGTGGTTTCTGGATAACTAGCTTACGGGGGGGGCATGTTGTTCCTAGACCGAAGGAATGGGAAAGCCAAATCCATAGCAAGGCACCATTTAGGCTTGGTGCAGTTTTGACAGCAGACCCCTGTGCTGCACATTTAAACCAGTTCCAAGTCCCTTGAATTATAAGCACTTGCAATTGAAGGACCTTGATCAATGTAATTTTGCAGCAGAACTTTGGGGATGTGTGGGGAAATGGTGTGCGCATGTATACATACATACAGATACACACTCCCATTTCCCAAAGAATGGTAGGTTTGTTAAAGGGAGCTAGTAGTCTCATCAATTGTCACCATCCTCAGAAAACTACAGTTTCCAAGATTCTTTGGTGGCAGCTGTGTGAATTAAAAGGGTCATAAAAGCAGCATATGTTAGCGGCATAGAACTCTGGGCAGTTCTCAGCACCGTTCCCATCACTGACTGGGGAGAGGCCATGGCTCAGTGACAGAGCACTTGCTTGGCATGCAGATCTCGGGTTCAATCCCCAGCATCTCCTGTTAAAAAAAGGACCAAACAGTTGTTGATGTGAAAGACCTCTGCCTGAGACCCTGGAGAGCCACTACCAGTCTGAGTAGACTCTGCTCACCCTGATTGGCTGATTCACTTTGTGTTCAGTTTTAAAGCTGGTTTAGCTGTATAGCACAGATGTGGCTTCCCTGGCTATAAGAAAACAGGGGTAAGCTTGAGTACCCGAAATTTCCGGAACGGGCTGAAGTGTCGGACTTCCTCCACTACATATTGTTGGAAGAAGGGGTGGGCGAGAGCATCCTCCACAGTGTATCGACGGTCTGGGGGCAGGGGAAAAAAAAAAAGGAAGACGAAGGGGGGGGGGGGGGGGTTGGTTCCAGAGATGGAAACGCTGCACTTTCTGCTCCACATTACACCAGGTTCTTATGTCAAATATCTGAGCATCGTGAGGACTTGTAACCAGGGCTGGCTCCAGGTTTCGCAGTGCCCTGGGTGGAGAGTACCCAGGGGCCCTCTCGCCTCCTCTGCCCCCACCAGCCCCCCCACTGCAGCTCCCTTCCTGTCCAACATCTGCTTAAGTGTCCTTCCTCTGCCTGGAAGCCCTCCTACACCTCCTTTATCTGATGGCACCACCCCTCTGCACCACCTGCACCGTCTTCCCCACTGACACTGAGCAGTATAGTGAGAGCCAGTTTGGTGTAGTGGTTAAGTGCGCGGACTCTAATCTGGGAGAACCGGGTTTGATTCCCCACTCCTCCGCTTGCACCTGGCTGGATGACCTTGGGCAAGCCGTAGTTCTGATAAGAGCTGTTCTTGAAAAAAGAGCCGTTTCTGCCAGAGCTCTCTCAGCCCCACCTACCTCACAGGGTGTCTGTTGTGGGGAGGGGAAGGGAAAGGAGTTGTAAGCTCTGAGGCACCTTTGGGCAGGGAAGGGCGGGGTATAAACCCAATCTCTTCTTCCTCTTCTCTATATGTGACAGGGAGCGTGGGTGGTGGAAGCCCAAGCAGATTGGGGGGGGGGGGACCACTGGCAAGTGGCAGAGAAGGTATATGGACAGTGGCAGCAGGCCCCACGAGAAACCCTGGGTCCCAGCAGCTGCCCCAGCTCGGGGAATGCTGACGCCAGCCCTGCTTGTAACCCTCCTGGCTTCAGTGTCACCTACCAGGTCTTTGACGGTATCTGACTGGTCGTCCCACTCCGGGGAGCCGAACTTGTAATCTCCACTCATGATCATCCGCAGCATCAGCATCTGTTTCCGGTGCCAGAATGGGGGCGATCCGGCCAGCAACGTATACATGATGACTCCTGTGCTCCACCTGGGGACAAACAACCCCACCCCCTTTGACGTGGCTGCTGGAACAACAGGCTGCACATTGACCTGGATGGCCCAGGCTAGCCTGATCTCGTCCGATCTTGAAAGCTAGGCAGGGTCGGCCCTGGCAAGTATTTGGATGGGAGACCACCAAGGAAACCCAGAGTTGCTAAGCACAGGAAGGCAAAGGCAAACCCCCTCCGAATGTCCCTTTCCTTGAAAACCATACAAAGTTGCCATAAGTTGACTGTGACTTGATGGTACTTAAAGAAGGTGGTAAAGAACATGCCAGAAAAGAATTATTCTCCTGCCTGGTGGGACTGGCTGCAGGGTTGGTTTTTTGTTTTCTTGGTCTTTGGGTAATCACTGGGTAATCACTGTTTTCTCGGTCTTTGGGTAACCATTGCAGCTTCCCTCCCCCCAGTGCTGCAAGCGGTGGCACAGTGGGTATATCCCACTGTCTTAACATCTGAACTGTGTTAGTTCGAGCCCCGCGCTGGTGTGAGCAGCCAGCCTGTTGTCCCCAGCTCATCGTCCACCCAGCGATTCGAAAGCTTCGGCGAGTAGATAAAATGGGAACCACTCCTTAGAGAGGGTGGGCACGCCAACCTCCTTTGTGGGAGGGCGTTAGCTGACGGTCGGACGTCCTGGTCAAAGCTTGTAAAGGCGAAACAGCTTCCCGGCTATGAAAAGAACGCCTGCAATGGATGTTTCGGCCAGGCAGTGGCAGTGTGGCGATTGACATACGGGTCCTGAGGCCTGGCCAGCAAGCAGCCGTGCGGGAAAATGACGGAGCCAGCCAGAAGATGTCTACAGTGACGGCGTGTGCAATTAAAGTGAATATATGTTATCTTCCCTATCCTCTACGAACTGTACATCGCTTTGAGCCCACTGGGAAAAGCGATTAATAAATGGAAAGTATTATTATTATTATTATCATCATCATCATCATCAGACTCTGTGGAAGAAGGCAGTGTGCATTTCTCATGCTCCTTTTGGCCCTGTTCGTGTCCACAGGTCTCAAAAAAAAGAGCACAAAAGGGTGGCTAAAAAGCACTGGTGGGTGGGTCAGGGCTACTTTTGGGCAGGAACGCACAGGAACGGAGTCCCAGCTGGCTTCAGAGTTGGCCACGCCCACTACAGCCAAAACCTCTGCATGTGTGGCTACAGAGGGAAGGGGTACCCAGGCAAGCCAAGGGAAGGCAGTTTAAACTGCCTTCCCTTCCCTCCAAGGGCCGGCTTTCCCGGGTTCCCCGCAGCCGCGGGGTGCCCAGCCGAGCCAAGGGAAGGCATGGAGGTGTGGCCTAATATGCTAATGAGCTGCACTGTCAGGCGTGTGGCCTAATATGCTAATGAGTTTCTGCTGTTGAGTGTGGCCTCTTATGCTAATTAGTTCCTGCTGGGTTTTTCCCCCTACAAAAAAAGCACTGGGGTGGGTGGTTTCTGGGCTGGCATGGAGGAGGTGCTGCACGGCTCAGTTCTTTGGCGCTTTGCTTCCTCCACTGTCATCATGGAGTTTTTCCAAAATGGGAGATCAGCTCAGCATGTTTGCAAAGAGGTGCCCCCTCAAGCCAGGCTTTGGGGCCCTGGCAGGGGGGCCCTAACTGTGCTGGCCCTTAACACTGGCCGGCCCCGTCTCCAGTTGATGTCGAAACTGCCAGCAGCTTCCCTTCAAGCAGGTTATTCATAGGAGAACACAGGTAAGCATGATGATGCCCCAGTGCTTGTGGATGGAAGGATATACAAGGATGGGAAAAGGGAAAGATTTCATTGTTGTGTTCAGTCTTTCCAACGGCTGCATTTCTTCGTATACATACAGGATTTTATTTGCAAAGCTCTGGAAAAACGAAAACACTCCCACTGCAGAGGACTTTGTCTATAAATGGCTTGAAGTAGCAGAAATTGAGAAATTAACGTTTACTTTACAAGGTAAAAATGAAGAAGTTTTTGAAAAATATTGGTACCGCGTTTCTAGATGGTTAGGAACTTAAGTTCTAATTAGTTTCATATATAGTGTATTTGATAGGATGCCGAGATTCATAGAATGTAAGAAAATTCGAATAAGTTCAATTTAATTAAAATTTTGAATATGGTATATCAATTATCATGAGGTATAATGGAAGAAACTCTGTAAAATATATGTTAAGTAAATATGTGATCAACAAAATATAAAATCAATAAATAAATCTGGAGGGTGGAAAGAAAAGAAATAGGGTGCCACATTGTTTTCCTTACATGTCAGTTTCCTTCCCGTAGCCTGGATGGTCTGGATCCATGGAACATTCTAATATTTCAGGTGCCAAGTAGCCAGGAGTTCCACAGATCTCTGCAAGAAAATCAATAGGGTTTTTTTAAAAAAACTTAAACTTTTCATACCTTTATACTATTTAATTTTTTTTAGAGCTATCATCCTCCCTAGCTAACTTATGGGTTCAAGACAGGCCTTCATTCAGCAGGGTTCTTATGTTCTTTAGTCATGAAAGCTATAAATAGAAGCTACATGTTCAAAGACAGTATACCTTTGAATATTAATTAACTGTGGGGTCTCAGCTGAGCGAGGACTGTGGGATTTACAGACTTCCCAGGGGCATCTGGCTTGCCATTGCTGGGCGGAGAATGCTGGAATATATGGGATTTTGATCTGATTTAGAAGGACTCCTCAGTTTCAGTTCAAATCGATATGCAAAAGTCAGAGGAAGGCTCTACCTTGATCCGATCGAGCGAGGTAATTCTCACATTAGGAAGGCATGTATTTTCATTGCAGCTTACCTAAGGGGAGGGGCTGTAACCAGGGGTCATTTCGTAGAAAAAGAGCTAGGGGAACTCATTAGCATAACTCATTAGCATATGTCACACCCCCTGACATCAGGGGCCCGGCGGTGGACCTGCAAGGCCAGTGGGAGTGCGAGAAAGCCCCGCCAAGGCCCTCCCTGGCCCCAGGCAGGCAGGGGTGGGGAGAGGCGGGGAGGAAGCAACTTACCCTCCCTCTTCTCCTGCCTCCTCCTGGCTGAATGAGGGCTGGAAGCGGGGCGGCCGGAAGCAGGGGGCGGGGGTTCATCATGTGCCCCGCCCCCTGCACCTCCCCCGGGGGAACTGTGTTCCCCCGCGTTCCCCCCCGAAATGACCTCTGGCTGTAACTCAGTGGAAGAACCTCTACTTTGTCTGCAGGAGGTCCCAGGTTCAAACCCCAGCATCTCCAATTGAAAGGATCAGGTGGTAGGTGATGGGAAAGGCATCCACCTGTGACCCTGGAGAGCTGCTGCCAGTCTGAGTAGACAATACTGACCTTGGCGGACCAATGGTCTGATTCAGTATAAGGCAGCTTCATGTGTGATCATGTATGTGGCTGCTACCTGACTAGAATCTCACCCAAAGCACATGATCTCAAAATACATAGCTTCTGCCCAAGACTTGCAAAACGACAATAAGTGATGTAAACAGGTGGAAAAAGCAGAATAAAATCAAATTGGTTCAAGATGCAGGCAATCCAGATCTTCAGATTGCCGAGAGGCAGCACGGGAGAGGGTGCTTGTGGGCCTCCTTATCCATCTAGACTAATGCTCCCTCTAAGCTGTGGGATCTTGTGAGCAAAAATTCTACTTTGTGAGCTCCTGGCATTGAAGTTGTGAGCGAGCGACTGGGCTGCTGCATAAATTAGTTTGCTCTGGGGCCCTCCTTCCTGAGCTAAGACAAAAATGTGTGAGCCGGAGGCTAAAAAACGGTGACTGAGCTCACACTAACTCAGCTTAGAGGGAACACTGATATAGACCCAGGGGGACACAGGCAGCCCTGCCCCACCCCAGTGTCCAGTCTCTGCAATAAGCCGATCACATCACCTTTGAGTTTTTCCCCTCTCTGCAGCTGACACGAGAAGCCAAAGTCAGTCAGCTTGATGTTCATGTCATCATCCAGGAGGATGTTTTCCGGCTTCAGGTCTCGATGAACGATGTCCATGGAATGAAGGTACTGGATGACTTCCAGGAGGGCACGCATGATCTTTCTAAAGGGAGGAAAGTACCCGCCAGTCAGCTGAAGGAAACTGCCCGGGAGACAAAAAGTACATTCTCATCTCCCATCCCCGCAGCTCAGGGCAAGTCCATAGTTCAGTGGCACAGCACGTACAAAAAGTCACCGGTCGAATTCCAGGTATATCCATCGGAAGGAGCTCAAGTTGTAGGTAGTAGAAAACAGCCTTTCCCTGCCTGGGACCCCCAACTGCCACTGCCAGTCAGAGCAGACAATACAGGGTCAGAAGAACCAAATACTGTAGTCAGTACAAGGCAGTTCTTTGGGCCAGACCCATCAGTCAGTAGCAGAGCACCTGCTTTCCATGCAGAAGGTCCCAGGCTCAATCCGGTTAAAAGATCTCAGGTAGCAGATGTTACGAAAGACCTTCCTCTGTTGGAAAGCTGCAGAGCCAGTCAGAATTGAGAACGGTGAGCCAGATGAACAGGCAGACTCCTATGTTCATCAACATGTTAAAGGGTATCAGGAGTCTTCTTGGAATAAACGCCAGTGTGGTGTACTGGCGAGAGAGTTATAGCGCTTTCACACACGCTAAATAATGCACATTCAGTCCACTTTCAATGTACTTTGCAACTGGATTTTGCTGTGTGAAAATCACTGAAGTGGATTGAAACAGTATTATTTAGGGTGTGTGAAAGCGCCCTTAGACTAGGATTAGGGAGGCCTGGGTATCTGAACCAGTTAAGGAGCACAGTGGGTGACCTTGGGCCAGTCGTGCTCTGTTAAGCTGCCTCACAGGGCTGTTGTGAAGGCAAATGTAGGAATGGAGTATCTTATATGCCTCCCTGAGCTCCGTGAAAAGGGCGGGGGGGGAAATATGATACACAGACAAATTCCCTTCTCAAAGAAATAAAATCCATTGGACACTTTCATTCATAGCAACTCTGTTTCCAGGACATTCTGTTTCACTTAATGCATGTATATATAAAAGCTGATTCCCATCACCATACTCAGGTCACACTGTAGAATGACCAACCTGCCAAACCCAAGGAGCATGCAGATGAAGGGGCAAGGCTATGCAAAAATAAATAGGATTCTTGTGCATGAGTTGAGCAACTGCTACAGCAGCCCCTCAGGGTGGGCCAATATTATTTTTTTAAACCCTTTGCTTACAGAAGGCTGAAACCCCTTACCTGGTTTCTTTCTCACTCAAGGTCACTTTCTCTGTGAGGTAATCAAAGAGTTCCCCTCTCTTCATTCTGTGTTTAGGGAGGAAAAGGTGCTTTAAAAAAACAAGGCGACCGTATCTTAACTTTATGAACCGCAAAAATAAGAGAAAAACAAAATGAAAAGGGCAGCTCTGGCAATGGGTGGTGGTGGTGGTGGAGGTAATTGCTTCAGGGATGTCGCAACCCCATTTCTCACACAATTCAAATTAATAATGGAGACAATCCCGGTAACTTTAGCTCTAAAGAGAGCTCCTGCTCCCTCAAGCCTCTCAGTCTTTCTCTTTTGCTGTCCCAGATGCCTGGGCCTGGGCCTGCCCCTCGAAAACAGCTTTCACCTCATTCTCACTTCCTTCAAATTTATTTTATTTATTTATTTAGCCATTTTTACCCCACCCTCCCCGCAAGCGGGCTCAGGGCGGCTTACAAGGGGCATGCGCCCATACATAAACCAGATAAAACAATAAATCATGAATAATAACAACAGTAACAATAATAAAGTGCTTTTTGTAAACAAGATGGTCTTGAGTGGTTTTGATGGCATCTTCAAATCCTCCCCATTGGGATGACACTGTCCGGCAGATAGTGAAATTCCTGGAGATTTTACCTCAGTGGGGTGAAATTCCTGGAGATTTTACCTCAGTGGGGTATAATGCCTCAGCCATAGAGATTTTACCTCAGTGGGGCATAATGTCATAGAGTCCACCTTACAAAGCAGCCAATTTTCTCCAGAGGAACTGATCAATGTCACCTGGAGACCAGTCGTAATTCTGGGAGATCTCCAACTACCACCTCTAGGTTGGCAACCTCAAATCCTTCTTCCTCCTCTCTTGATGTACAATTGTAATGAATGGAGTCCCTTCTCCTTCATCACCCTTCACTTCCTTCCCTCCCCTTCTTTGTCCCAAATTCTGGACTGTAAGTTCCTTGAAGCAGGGACCTTTTTCTTGGACAATGAAAGACACCTAGCACTCTGATGGCTGTGGTTGCCAACCTCCCCATGGTGTCTAGAGATCTCCTGGAATTACAACTTATCTCCAGCCTAGTGCGATCAGTTCCCCTGGAGGAAGAGGCAGCTTTGGAAAGTGAACTATACAGCATCCCCTCACTGCTGAGTTCCTTTCCCTCCCCAAACCTACAGGAATTACCCATCCTAGATTTGGCAACCCAACAGTGATGGCACATCAATGATAAAATATGGATTGGAGCCAAATTCCCCCTTCTGTGAGCACAATCAAGGGGATAATCTTCCCACTGCAGACATCGAAGTCACACCCGGTGATACTCCTGGGGGTCCCCTGGCTCTTTTGGGGTGCACAGGGGACTGGAGGAGGAAGGTAGAAAAGTCCCGTTCCTCAAGTGGAACTCTACAAGCAGTTCTTTGGGACCCAACCCATCATTACCATCCTAACAACAGTTATCCTTTATCCCAGCAATCACGACCCTGGCATTTCAGCTATTTTTAAAAGCAAGATCCTAGTCCTTAGGAAATAAACTCGGAAGCACTATTTGCACCTAGTAAAAGCTCAAAGCCCAAGAAGGGATGGACATGAATGCCACTGGTTAATACACTCCTTCAGAGTGCCATTTATAAGGGGGAAATGTGTATGGGAAAAGTAAAGATAATTTGCTAACACACAGCCCAAGCAGTATTCACCCGAGTGAAGCATTTTCTGTTCCCATCAATTTTGAGGGGTTAAACACATGCCGACTCTGTTGTGTCAGAATCCAAAATATAAACTGCTCCAAGCAACAGTCCTTCTAATAGCAATTTAGCAATTTTTCAAGAGCATCAGTGCACTAGTCAACAGGCTACAGCCTGGCAGCCAGTGCTCCCCACAAACTGTTAGGCAGCTTAAGGGCTGTAGGAAACTCACACATGGCAAACTGCACCTAAGAGATACTCTAGGCAGTCCCACCTCTCCTAGTCTCTATGGTCCAGGAAAAGGAATGCCTAGCGTGTCAATTCTTGGAGACTGTGAGCATTCATGGCCACCATTTTTTTTCTTCTGAGCACCGATCTCTCCCATCTCACCCTATTTCCTGGACATCCCCCACCATGGGAAACTGGCAACTCTAAATAGCCCCTATCATGTGCTTACCTCTGGCCCTTCAGTGACTTCCTTTTTCCAGGGGCACTTAGCCCTACAATCAACCACTGCAGCTGGTCTTCCTACATCACTCTTTCCAAAGCTTCCAACAGCTGCTGGACTTCATTGTATTGTATTATGATATGAGCCAATATGCTCCTCATTGTGTTTGACCTCTGAAGAAACAAGTGACTGGTGTGTGGTATGATTTTTTGACAGTTTAACATCTAGCCTGGAATTTATATTGTTTTGTAGTTTTAAATGTTATGCTGTATGTGGGATGTGCAATCACATGACTATTTCAAGGCACTCCACAAGGACTGCCTCATCCTTCACCTGGTATAAAGCTCCAGCACTTTACTTTATCAGCACTGCTCTTTGCTTAAGGGACAATTTTGTTTAGGATGCTTTGGCTAAACAATCATTGGAGGCACTTTCTGGACCAGAAGTAATACTTTTGATTTAAATTTCAATATTGTAGAATGTATTGGTTTATACATTTTTTTGGTTTCTAGATTATTATCAGTGAAACATCATTTGGCATGTGACTGCATCTTTGGAGGCCTCATTTATACTTTTATTCTGTGCCTAGTGGTTTCACTTTGGAAGTAAATCTATATGTTTTTTAGTAGAATATACGTATCATTTATTTATTCATTTTATTATATGTATTTAATTTCACATTTTTCTATTTTTTACAGCAATTCGTTTCTGGTCCATCTTGTATCTATGTTGCATAATTGTACGATTGTATTGCATTATGAGCCGTGGTGGTCTGGGGTTGGGGCTCCCTCTCCCGACATTCGATGGGGTGCCTTTGGTGCCAGCGCCGGAGGTTAGGAGTTTGGGAGTCAGCCTTCTACCATCTACGGCTGGTGCGGCAGTTGGTTCCCTTCCTCGACCGCAGTGACTTGGCCACGGTGATCCATGCGACGGTCACCTCGAGGCTAGACTACTGCAACGCTCTCTACATGGGGCTGCCTTTGTCGCAAATCCGGAAGCTGCAGCTAGTGCAGAATGCTGCGGCCAGGCTGTTGATGGGTCTTCCTAGTAGGGACCACATCCAACCTGTGCTGAAAGCGCTGCACTGGCTGCCAACAGCGTACCGGATTCGCTTCAAAGTGCTGGTTCTTACCTTTAAAGACCTACATGGTCTGGGTCCAGCTTACCTAAGGGACCGCCTTTCCTCATATGTTCCCCCGCGAGCACTTCGGTCTGGGACGCAACATCTCCTGGCAATGCCAGGTCCCAAAGAGGCCAGGCTGGCCGCTACCAGGGCCAGGGCTTTCTCGGTGGCGGCTCCTACCTGGTGGAATGAGCTCCCGATGGAGATCCGGGCCCTGCAGGACCTTGTACAGTTCCGCAGGGCCTGTAAGACAGAGCTTTTCCACCAGGCGTATGAGTAGGAGCCACCACTACCATCATTATTGTTCCATCTTACCTGGCCTTGGAAGACGGAACACCAGTGTTTCCCTGGAGCAGATGATGCTGAGGAACAGAGCAGTGGCAATAGAGCAGTGAAACACGCCATCTTGTGAAACAACATCTAGAGCACTTTGTTAATAAGTGGTTATAATGTTATTTGTATTGTGATGATTTTAAATGATTTTAAATATGTTTTATATTGGCATATGCCTCTTGTAAGCCGCCCTGAGCCCGCGTAGCGGGGAGAGCGGGGTATAAATTGAATAAAATAAATAAATAAATATACTCCTCATTGTGACTAGTGTCACAAAAGTCCCAAATATACAAATTTCACTAGTATAAAACACCATCAAAGATTACCAAAACAATATATTAAACAATTATAAAGTCGGTGGTCACAACAATAACATTTATGCATACTGTAACTGTAATAAGACATAAGATACAATATTTCCTCCTTTGAAGATAAGACTGAAAAGTCCATGTACTCAGTGTAACTTGATAGGAGGAGTCCACATAGTCATAACGTAGTCCAAACAGCCTTTGCAAAGACGCCCATTCTAGATATTTGGAAGAACCTATGATTCGCTCCCTACACTATGAACCTTTTGGTCTGTTGAAATTGCTGAAATCAGGTTCCCCTTACGCAGTCGGCGAAATGAAGAAGTCGAAGGAAACGCATCTTCCAAATATCTAGAATGGGCATCTTTGCAAAAGCTATCAAGTTATCAAATTACACTGAGTACATGGACTTTATGTCTTATCTTCAAAGGAGGGAATATTGTACCTTAATGCCTTATTACAGTTACAGTATGCATAAGTGTTGTTGCTGTGACACCACCAACTTTATAATTGTTTAATATATTGTTTTTGCAATCTTTGATGGTTTTTCTACTAGTGGAATTCGTATATTTGGGACATCATTGTTTTGGGCTTCATGTCCCAACATCAAAACTGAAGGCATGTTGCATTCTCCAGTCTTTCAAAGATCCTCGTTTAGAGTAAGGACAACTCACCCACAGAAGAGCTTGGCATTTCTGTACGAGCCATTGTTCTGGGCATGCCTCCAGATCCGTAGAAAGCGCAAGCCCGGGACAGTGACTAACACAGAGTAGCAATAGGCTGCCTCTGCTGTGGACCATTACGCGGCTGTGTTTCCATACTGAGAGTGATTAATGATCTAGTGAGTCACACCCAATGGGACTAGGCAGTGGAACTGTCCACCCGCCCACCAGTGCAGGCTGATTGGAAAGAGGCATGACCAGAATAAGAAAATATACAGAGATGCACCAGACAGCCTCAGGAGGGTGATAGGAACTGTTGATTGTATTATTAATGTCCTTAATTGGGGGGGGGGGGTGTTACTGCCCTCACAGACACCTTGGAAAGCCTTTCATGGATTTTTAAATCCTGTGAGATTTTATTCATTTCAGGGGGTTGGGTCTTCAAATGGGCCGATTTAAATCTGATCCCTTCCCTTTTGAGAGTCCTGCACACCTCAACAGCAAGCCCCCAAGC